CTTTTGTTTTGAGTAATTACATGTCTGGGTCTATTTATTATTAATAATTCAGCCCAGTCTACCTTATCTATTACAATGGATGAATATCTAAAAGAAGGGCTGGAGAGGAAAGAATAACAATGAAAAGATTGTTTTAATCATCCAGGGGAGATACATTCATGGTTTGAACATGGATGGTTACAGTGAAAGTAAAAAGATATGGTCAGATTCGAAGTATATTTTGAAGATAGAGCCAGGAGGACTTGCTGATGAATCACATTCAAGAATGTCAGCTAGAAATTTTGAAAATTCCCCTCATTCTATATTTTTGTAAAACTAGATGAGAGAATAAACTTTTCCTGACTCACTTTTGCCTGAAAATAGAATCCACGGAATTCCATATTAAGTGTGAAACAGACTTCCTTCTTATGTAGAATTTTCAAATGAAGTGGAAGAAATCTCATTATATGATTCTTAGACTTTACAGACAACTAAGAGTAAAAGAAAAGTCAGAGATTAAATTCAATTACAAGGATATCTTTGGAATGTCTTGTTTTCCTTTGGTTAAATGCCCAATAGTGGGATTCCTAGATCAAATGGTAGTTCTATTTTTAGTTCTTTGAGGAATCTCCATAGAGGTTGTGCTAGTTTGCATTGCCACCAGCAGTGTATGAGTGTTCCTATCTCTCTGCAACCACACCAACATTCGTTGTTTGGGGACTTTTTGATAAAAGTCATTCTCACTGGAGTGAAGTGATATCTCATTGTGGTTTTGATTTGCATTTCCCTGATGATAGAGACGTTGAGCATTTCTTGGCCATTAGTGTATCTTCTTTTGAAAAGTTTCCATTCATGTCCTTTGGCGACTTTTTAATGGGGTTGTTTGATTTTTTTCTTGCTGATTTTCCTGAGTTCTATATAGACTCTAGTTATCAGCCCTTTATCAGATGTATAGCATGCAAATATTTTCTCTTGTTCTGTAGGTTGTCTATTCATGCTAGTGATCGTTTCTTTAGCTGTGCAGAAGCTTTTTAATTTGATCAGGTCCCATTTATTTATTTTTGTCATTGCTGTGATTGCTTTTGGGGTCTTCTTCATAAATTCTTTGCCTAGATCAATGTCTATAAGAGTTTTTCCAATATTTTCTTCTAGAATTCTTATGGTTTCATGCCTTAGGTTTAAGTCTGTTATCCATCATGAGTTGATTTTTGTGAGAGGTGAGAGGTGTGGATCTTGTTTCAGTCTTCCACATGTGGCTATCTAAATTTTCCCAGTATTGCTTACTGAATAGGAATCCTTTTCCCCAGTGTATGTTTTTGTCTAGGACATCTGCACTCGAATGTTTATAGCAGCACAGTTCACAATTGCAAAGATTGGAAACAACCCAAGTGCCTATCGATATATGAGTGGATTAATAAAATGTGGTATATGTATGCCATGGAGTACTATTCAGCCATAAAAAGGTGAACTATTGCTTATATTATCCTGGATGGAGCTGGAGCCCATTCTTCTAAGTTAAGTATCCCAAGAATGGAAAAACAAACACCCCATGTACTCACCATTAAATTGTTACTAATTGATTAACATTTATGCGCACATATGGGAAGTAACATTCATAGGTTGTCAGGCAGGTGGAAGTGGGAGGAGGGGATGGGTAAATGCACACCTAAAGGATGCGGTGCTGTCTGGGGCATGGGCATGCTTGTAGCCTGAGTCGGGTGGTGCAAAGGTAATTTATGTAACCAAAGTGATTGTACCCCCATAATATTCTGAAATAAAAAGAAATTCATAGAACTGCGTATCAAAGAAGTTAGTTTTACTGTATGATAATTTTAGAAACAAAGTTAT